GAAAGCCTGAAAACAAGGGCCTACAGGCCCTGTGTCGTTTGAGCCTAAAAAGGGCCCTCCAGGCCCCGAGTCTTTTCAGCCTGAAACGGAGGGCCATTTTCAGGCCCTGATAAGATCGACCTGCCCTGAAACTCAGGCACCAGACCAGGGTTTTAGCGCAGACCATTTTGGGCCTGTTGTCAAGACAACCTTTGTTTGAGCTTCAACACCAGGGTCTGACACATTTTGGCGTTGGCAAGAGCAGCCTCCTGGACGGCCCAGCGCTATGTAAGACTGGCCCGCCCTGCAGGCTACAGGTAGTTCATAGGGACTTCCCTGGCACTTCACGTGCAGTTCAGGAGGCAGGAGGTAGTCTTCTGGATTCGGCAGCAGCACTCTGGAGGAGCGCTGCAGAAGTAGTAGTAGCGTTAGCAGTAGTCTTCAGCGCTGGGCGCTATTATGAGCTAGAGTAGCGCTGGAGAGGGATAGATTGGGCGGAGGCCAGGGAGACTTACCTGCAGCGCCATAGCTCCAGCTCGTCGTCGAGGTACCTGCAGCACAGGGCCATCTTCACAGGTTAGTACCTGGCACATGTGTGTGTGTTTGTGTGTGTGTGTGTGTGTGTGTGTGTGAGAGAGAGAGAGAGAGAGAGAGAGAGTTCTTCTTCTTCCTCTTCTCAGTCCACCATCTCCCCCTCACCCTCTCGCTACCTGACTTCACTGCATCAGCAGACTACGAGAGAGAGGGATTGGTGACATTTGGATCCAGACTCGACATTGGGCTTCAGACATTTGACGACATTCCCATCTCCCCCCTCTTCTTTGTCTGATCCCCTCCTCTTCGTCTGTGTATGGTCTGGACCTGGCGCATTCTTCCTGTGTGTAGCGCGAGGCCCCTTCACACCTTGTGATGAGGATGATGTATGTTTTGTCTGCATTGCGACATTGATTGGGCTAGTCATTGGTATTCTAGCATTCTGCTACGCTGTCTTGTACTACATGAGAGAGGTCAGTCCCGGTCAGGTCAGGGCTTATATCTACGTCTTCCACTGCGCTACAAGGTGCCATTTTGTATGTATCAGGATGTACATTGCTTGTTGGGATTCCACTAACACCGCATTGTCCATTCAGTCCTTTTTATCACATTGCGGATCCTTGGCTATACATACATGTCGTGGGTGGAAAAAGGGGTGTGGCAGGTAAAGCACCTGTGGGCAGAAGAACGGGGGGAATGACGAACGGAACAAGAACTCCGGAACACCCTTAAAGGATGTCACACTCTCGCAGACAATCTAAGCATAATCCAGAAGAGCATCCCACTCCATTGGCTCCACCTCTTGAAAGAAGACTCTCCTGGAAACCAGGGGACTGGGGTATACTCATATCCCAGACTTCACGGAACAGAGCATACCAGTTGTTATCCCACACCTCAGCCACCGGCTACCTCTCCAAATTCTACTCCTATCCCATCGCCAATCACAACGTCCAGGAACTAGCCATTCTCAACAGAGAACCTCAGCTAGAGACGATAGAGTCCTTCAGGCTGCAAAAAGTGAGGGTAACAAAAACCAAACCATGGATAATCTTCCAGCCTGGCCTCAGCATATCAGAGCTCGAATGCGATTCTAAGGAGTGGTTATGGAAACAAAGCAAAACCGGTAAAATACAGAGCGATACTGGAATACGATGTAAAATTCGGGTACGACGTAGGCCTACTGACCACGGATCCCAACCCCAAACTTGAAGACAGATGGAGAGAGACACTGATCCTAGAGCTCCTCAATATCCATCCCCTGGACAAAATACCTCCCCATCAGACCAGCTAGAATCTGTAGCTTACAGGTCCCCCTAGCCCATGCAGCATTCCCTGTCAACCAGTGGCTCCACAAAAGAAGAAACCACTTGGACCCTGACAGCTCGCAACTATGCGTAGTGTGCAGTGACAATGTCCCTGAAGACATCCCCCACTGCCTCCTCTACTGCAGCCAGGCCGCCTGGATATGGAACAAAGTCCGAGACCTATGGTTCCACCTCTTCTCATCCCCTCCCTCAGCCCTCTGAACATCCTACTTCTATCTAACATCCCCGACAGCCTCAGAGGTGGAAAAGCGGTTCGGTTCCACATGATCAGGAAACTAGCCTTGTGGGTCACATGGAAAAGGAGATGTACCAAGACAATCGAGGGTTCAGAATTGGCCAAGGAGGAAATGTGGATCCTACTGGTGAGGATGGTGGAAACAGAGATCCGATGCAAATGGAGGAGTATATCGACAGCAACGAGAGGCAAACCTGAAAGACTCACACTCAGGACACAAATCTTCATGAGAGACTGGTTGCTACAAGGGAAGATCGCGACAGTCTCAGACAATAAATCAATCTGGAAGAAATGGGACACTCCAACAACGACAAGGAATGTAGCCCCGAGAGGGACAAATTGAGGTTCTAGCCTCAGACGGATAGACATCTCTCCCGGTTTTCTTGTGCTTCAATACCTATTCGACAGAACCAACAGGGTTTCTGAGAGGAAAGCTAGGGTAGGGCAAGCTGACAGTCAATCCTCCCAAACAGGAGTAATCAATGCTGGTCAGGGTTCCTTCGGCCAGACGAAAGCAAGCGTGGGTGTGTACTATGATGTATTCAATCTTTACTTGCCGGGGGAATAGGAACTGGACCGACTCTCCCAAGAAAGGAAGGAAAAAAAAAATCAGAAAAAAAACTTTAAAAAAGAAAAAAACTATTCCTGCCTATGGGAGTAATGTGTACTCGTGTACATGAAACCCTAACGCGCATATACTCCGTGCTGTGCAGATATAAACCTAACGGATCGTTCCAGTCGTTGGACAAAATTTCTTGATAGCTTTAGGTGAGAAGCGTAGCGTGTTGTCCTTCGGGACATCCGTTAAAATTGGAACAATACAGAGAAGATTTGCATGGCCCCTGCGCAAGGATGACACACATCAATTGAGGAATGGTCCAAATTAAAAAAAAAAGAAAAAAAGAAAATGAAAAAAAAAATGTAGCGTGTTACCCTACATTTTCGTGGGGGCAGTTGTCATCAACTGGTTGATGAGGACATCAGCACTTAAGGTCTTTGAGAAAGTTTCCGGATGAAAGTCAGAGAAATGCATTGTGATTCATTTTACAACACTTCGGAGGTTCAGACAAAGTGGTCACCATTAAATGGGTGTATTATAAGAGTGCAATCAGACTTGTCTCAATTTCACTCGCAACATGCATACATGTGAGTGCCGATGGCAACACAACTTCATTGACGCAGAATCAGCAGCAAACTTGCGATGGCGCACTGCGCCCACACAGGAAACTCAGGAATATGGCCGAAGGCCAGGAACTCAGCTTAAGGCAACTCGTCACATCTAGCGGCTATGGCCGCTGCACACTGGTCTGAATTCCCACCTGAACACTATCCACCAACAGACACACTCTCACTTGCACACGTATGCACTAGGATCTACCCTGAATGTCCACGCGCACACACACACACACACACACTGGACACTGTTGATGTCAGCACTTGGCAGCTATGGCCGCCGTCGTCCTCCTTTGCCCTCTTCGTCTTTGGGCACCTGCAGACCTCCGAATGAACAAGGCACACAAGCAGCGCTTCCCTATGGCTCACAGGCGAATGAATGAATGGCTGGGCGCTGCCTCTTTATTTATACTGTTTCGCCGGTGGTCTGTCCTGCCTTCGGTCCCAGGCCCAAGTGATGTGCGGCCCCGCCTGGTACTTGCTGACTGGACAAGGTGGACTGGAGCTGGGACTGCTAACTGGACTAGGAATAGACTGACCCTTGCTGACTCAGATATGGACACTGGCTCGTATGGCTCCGAAGAGCCAAGTAGCGGCTTCTAGAATTTCCTAGACTATGTTTGACTGCCCTTTCGCTATGCTGAGGGCTAACCTACTGGACTGACCCTCAAACTACTAATCCTAAGGTCTACAGGTCAAGTCCATGCGACCACGCCTATACGCATGGAACCTAAACTTGCATTTTAGGAAACAGGTCACGGGTTAAAGGCACACAGGGTCAACGGGTAGCTGTGCAGGGGGTTTAGGGTAAGTCTAGGGATCGAGCCATCAGTTTGACAGTCCGAAAAGCAGCTCAGTCCTAGTAAAGTCCATGAGCAATCAAGAAAAGTGGGAAACAGACGCGGTCGGAACGCGAAAGGCGGTCCGGAAAGATCCAAAATGAGGACAAAAAACCAAAGGGGAAATGCAGCAAGTTCATAACACCGGCATCAGCAGAACACCGACACAATTTTGATCTGTGCCTAACGTGAAGCGCTGCTGTGGTCTTGTGCGGGGAAGCAGTGACCGAGGCTGAGAGACAGTAGTGTAGTCCATGGCACCCAACGTCATGGCTGGTAGCAAGAGAGAGTGAGGCTGAGAGAAGACATTCAGAGAAGGTGAGCAAGGCCTGTGAGGGTAGAGTACAGGTGTGTGTGTGTGTGTGTGTGTGTGTGTGTGTGTGTGTGTGTGTGTGTGTGTGTG